TAAAATTAAAAAATAAATAAATTTATAGAGTTGGAGAATGTTACTTCTAACAATTTAAACCTTACCTAACGAAATCTGTTAGCTCCTCTGCCAGTGCTCGCGAAATTTAGAAGTTGGGATGACTAATCAGATTATTCTTTAAATAAGATTTGAAAATTGATTAATTTGTCTCATTAAATAATTTAAAATTTTGATATGTATATATCATAAAAATAGATAATTGTATTATTAAATCATAATTCGAATTTAGATATTGTCATATTTCTTTAGATTTATATCTAAATTCTTATCTTTTTTATTTTTGTGTAGTTTTTATTCCGGTTTTTTTTTTTTTTAAGATGGAGTTGTAGGTATCTATTTTTTTTAATTTAATTTATCTGCGGTTTCTATTTATTTTTAATTATTATTATTTAGGTAAGTTATGATGTGAGTTAGATTTATGATAGAATTGATTTAAAGTATAATGGTTAGAGATATTTTTAAATTAGATTTGTTTAGATAAACTTTAAAGATTTTTAAAATTTAAAATTGGATATTATGATGCAAAAGAAAGATTTTAAGTGAATAAATAAAAATCAAGTTTATTAATTTTATCTGTTTATATATTTGATTTTTTTTGGTTATGTTATAATATAATATATAAGATATAGATAGATATCTACAACTTTAATGAAAAATATTATTTAATTTTTTGGGGAAAAAAAAGGAAGGTAAGTTTTAATTATTATTATTTTTTTTTTGAAAATCGGTGAGAGAGATTTGGATAGAGAGATTATGAAATATTTTTGTTATTAAATAAATAAATCAGTCATTAGTTTTTTTAATCTATTTTATAAATTAAAAAACACTAATTTTAGAAAATTGATTAATTTGTCCCATTAAGTAATTTAAAATTTTGATAGATATACATAAAAAAATAGATAATTATATTACTAAATCATAATTCAAATTTAAATGTTATATCTTTTTGAGATCCATAGGTAAATTCTTATCTTCTTTATTTTTGTGTGTAACCATAGTGTATGAGAGTAATTATGAGAGAAGTCAAAAGGGTTTGTGGGTTGGGAGAAGTCAATAAATGTTGATTTTTTTTAAAAAATCAAAAAATTAGAAAATTAGGATTAGGATATTGGAGTTCCTACAAGGCTTGTGGGTTAAAAACCCATTTTTCCTTATATAATACTAGCTTATCACCCGTGCTATGCACGAGATAATTATAGATATATATATATATATTAGAATTTTTTTAATATATAAATTATTTTTTTTAGGTTTTTTATAAAAATAATTTAACAATCTTATCACTAATCATAGTGTATGGGAGAAGTTGAAAAGGGTGTTACAGTAACTATGCACGGGTTGTATCTATAATTATTTGTTTGAGGGGATTTTGACAAAAGCTCTCAAAAGGCATGTAGAAATATATGTGGATTGGAAAAAGTTAATAAATACTGATCAAGGAATTTTGACCAAATCAATAAATGCAGACATGTGAATTGAAAAGAGTTAATAAATGTTGGTCAGAGGATTTTGACAAAACCAATAAATGTTGAGGTTTTTTTTTTTTTTTAAGTCAAAAATTTAGAAAATTAAGATTGGGATATTGAAACTCCCACAAGGCTTGGGGGTTAGAAATCCCTTTTTCCTTATATATAGACTAGCCTATCACTCGTGCTATGCACGAGATAATTATAGATATTTATATTTATTTTAATTTTTTTAATATATAAATTATGTTTTTTAAGATTTTTTATAAAAATAATTTAACAATCTTATTACTAACCATAGTGTATGGGAGAAGTTGAAAAAGGTACTGCAGTAACTATACACGGATTGTATCTATAATTATTTGTATGAGGAGATTTTAAATGCTAATAAAAAATTTTGACCAAATCAATAAATGCAAGCATG